TTTCAAAGATAGGTCAATGTTTGTAAAATCTGAAATTGGCGGTTGAGCCATATGGATAATAGCTTTTGCACTAAAATTTATTCGATCATTTGTTTCTTAAATAAAGGTAACAATATATTTGGTTTTCATCTAGATGATCGGGAAAAATTTAGCCAGCTGACTGTTTCATGATGATGAATTTTCTAGTCTCTTGTTACCCGGGTAATGCGGATGGATAAACCAGAGACCGCCAAAATGCTAGGGGACACGTGGCACAGTACGGATAATGCGATAATGATTTCCTACATGAAAGTCCTCAGTGCGTTTCTTCCAATTCCCTTATTTTTTATTCACTCATTCTTTGTTGTTCTTCCGTTATCCCTCCGTTTCCGCGTGACGTGCCGGCGAACCTTAGAACTCATTACCTGGTTCATTACAAATCCGTGCTGAAAACACCAAACAAGGAACAATACAAGTGTTGTCCAGGATTCATACGTCAACCCGGTTACGACGGTTGCGTCCCTCGTAAGTTCGTTTATCTTTCGCCACGGTAAACCTGGTCCCGGCCTTTAAAAACAAACATTCCAGACACTCGAAAATAGCGTAAGTCAGCCCGTCAAAGTGGCATCTTGTTGAACTATTGGGACTCTACACCTAGACACTTGACTCTCACATCAGCATCAGTGCAACTAAGGTGATCATTCCTTCCGGAACTGAAGTCGGAATGCTCATCCGAATATGGGCCAGAAAAGACAGCAGAAAGACTACCAATGATCATCGTGTGTGTTTTCCCTGTATGTGTCTTGAGGATCACAGTCTGATTTTTACCGTCTGTCTATCTTTTTGATGCTCTGTAGTCGTAGTAACATCTTGGTTACAAAGACCGGTTTCTATCTTCCACAGTCGGTACCATGACAGTTTTATTGTTTAACAGATTTCTCATCCCTGCCAAGAAACATATCATCACCTTCTATTATGATTTGAGAGAACAGCAGTTCAAACGGTTTCGCAGACCGTAAATATTCAATCAGCCCTGTTTTGATTTTTGGGGTCATACGAAAACCGAAACGGGTTATTGATTATATGCGCATGATTTTGATACGTGAGTTACACTAACCCAGCGGGGTAATATAACCTAATAGATGGGAGAACGAATCTAACCCCACTCACTACTTGTGAATGGATAAGAGTTCCGTTCTGAAAAGCTGGAAATTCAATTTGCCCCGCTTTTGTGCACTGTGCTCCCCTTTTTTTCTTTCATGACCAACCCCTGGGGCGTTCTCTGTTTGTCACTAGATTCATCACTCATTCATTTCGTGCCTGCGTATGTGTGTGTGGGGGGGTTGTTTCACCTATGTGGTCAGCTCGTTGAAATGAAAAAAGATAATATACAGTTTGGTACACGCATATACACTCACGCATGCACACAAACATCCGCGTTCATCGTGAATACTTTCAAATCAGGTCATTTGGGATTTTTATTTGTTTGTGTGTAATTTTACTCAAAATGGTGAAGTAGAAGTGCTGATACAAATTGGGAGATCAAATTCTCACATAGGATTCTTTGTGTGTAAATGTGTGACAGTAGAAAAAGATTGAATTCCCAATGTCGGGAGCGAGTTTTCTATGGTCAAGTGTTCTTTCTCTCACGCGCGTGAGCCCGCATGCGCTTGAATGCATTGTATTATTTGCACAACCCCCAAGGTCAACTGCATCTTTTAATAAACTCCACGGATCACACATATTTGCAAGTGCGTACGTCCCTGTCTGTTTGTATTCAGATCCGTTTTACAAAAATCTGGGTACCATAAACGTGTACATTCGGCTACACATGGTCGAACATCTTGTCTAGTTGTTATGCAGACAAATGAGAAGTCAATTCAATTTACGTATATCGATTTTTGACCCCGAGTGGCCAATCAATCAGTCAGCTTGTTTTCTTGATTCTGCATCCACTGATTCTCCGGCTGACCCGAAATACCNGAACAAGCCACATCGCGCTCTGAAAAGCGTGCGCATAATCTACCACATTAGTGTTCGGCCGCTCCATCAGAAGTCTAACATCATGAAACGCATTGAAGCACGGTAATGAAGTTTGCCGCAGCTTATGGACAGATGCTGTGCAAATTGGTCCATGGGTCAGAGAATGACAAAAAATGTGTACATTTATGCATACAGATGTGTAACATTTTGTTCAATCCAAACTTGGTTCCTCCAAATCCAGTCAATTAGTTTGTTATCGGGATGACTAGATTATATGAACGGTGTACAAAATAAGTTGATTGGACCAAACGTCAACGTCAACTGTTTCGTAGACCTGCCACGTCACAGAGTAATGGTATTGATCAGCTGGGGAATCACTCTAGAATATTTTCGCAAAACAAATACAAAAGAATTCAAACGGCAGACTGCATTCTAATCGATGTGGCCAACGGGGACGATCCAGGCTTGTGGCACAAATTTGCCGCGCAGTTTCCTGGATTGATAAGGACTTAATTAAACGAGCATTAAACATCCAAATGCCTCTATTTATAAATCACAATATTTCGCTCCAGGGCGGAGGAGGAGGGAGAATGATAGCCAGCGTAAAGAGAGTAGAGTGCAAGGAAATGATAGATTTCTCCTGTCACGCTGGGTGACGGTCGACAGTGAGGAACATACTCATACCCTGACACGTAAGGAAAGCATATACACTGATCCACAATTCAGAACGGTACTCCTCAAATTCACTGGGTTTTTAAAACAATAGATATCAAGTCCCTTTCTCCTCATTAACCCTAAAACATTTCCGGTGAAGAATGTGAAAGAAAAATTGGAAGGGGAGGGAAATCAACTGAACGATGCGGTCGGCCAGATCAATCGTTAACAGCGGTGAAAAAATGAGCCAAGTTAAGGCTCAGAGAAATGTGGCACTGGAAGTAATGATCAGAAATGTCAACCGGAAAGTGCAAACTGCTCACCTTGGTTTTATGAAATGGATTACATAGTTTGAATTTGGAGGCAAACTTATTCGCGCTCCGTTTGCCCTAAAGTTCCGATACTTACCTACTCATCTTGAACTACGGCATTGAGGTTTATAAAATAATTTTGCGCGCTTGAAAGGTTAAAATGAACTAACTGAGGTACGGTCATGATGTGCCCTAAATCAATGAGCAATTCGGCTCGGAATGAAATCCTGCACAGACCTTGAGGTCCCATGTCTCCAACTAACGATGTTTACAAGTCGGCTGATCTGAAATAACTCAGTATAGACTTTGATGACGATATAAGTATGTGCCCAACGCATATGGAGATGATTTCCAGCCACATTAGATGGGTATTTTTGCTCAAAAGATGCAATTTATCTAAGCCGATGTAGATTGGGTTTTACAGTGTAATCAAATTATTTACGCACCTGAAATTCAATTCACATTTCATCGATTTGCCCAAATATTTTCATATGATTGTTCAGAAACAGAACTTGGCATACTATATAACTAAATCAGTTCGAGTAATTGAAATCATTTCACATCCGTCGCCAGAGGTTTGCAGTTATAAGTCCAGGCTTCCTAGTTTAGGAGAGGATACTAGAAGCCAAGGAAGATTGGTTGAACAAGACAATGAATTTTACAAAACTTACCCCGATTCCATCAGGTGTTTTATTCATCTCTTCCTCGGCTGTATTCCACAAAACTGCTCAGTTCTGTAACCCTTGTGCAAGCTTGTTGTTTCGGCATATCTTGTTAGATAATGATTTATCCCTGAAAATGACTATTTCCAGTTTATTCAATAATGCATCAATAATGCCTTCGTCTTTTCGAATTCACAATTCAGAATCCAACTGTAGTGCTTACGTTCAAGCCACAATGCCATGCAAAAATGGCGGTCTATGCTATCAACAAAACGGCGTAGTTCGTTGCAATTGTCCGGCTGGGTTTACCGGAGTCANTAAGTTCTCCGAGGTGTATAATATTAATCCGTGAACATGTCCTCACTATATTTCTTTCTTATCCTCATTCTTTGACGATATCGATTTTTTATGGTTAACTTGTTTTGATAAAAACATACCATGTTTTACATCTCTTTTGTTTAATTAGTACACAAACGTATAACCAATTTTCACGAGGGGGTTTCGACCATACAAAGGATATTTTAGAAAATACAGAAATGAAAAACATGAGCGACGATTGTGTGGTTCGAATTCAGGACGACCAGGTACTGTCTGTCTCTCTGTCTCTTTCTCCTGCTCCCAGAGAGATACATTTGTGTATTCTTGCGTTTTAAGAAATAACCGGCTTCTGTAGACAACGCGTCTACTCGTCCACTCACAACGCGAAGAGAGCAAGGAGACTTCAAGGTCAATAGAGAAATTGGTCCCTGTCAAACTACGCACACAACTGGATGAGCTCACTTCCGGTCCTTCTATCAGAACATTGTTGTACTCATACAGATAGCTCATTTTTAAACAGACTTAACTGAATTTCAATGAGACACTGAAGCCGATTATTTGTGCGTATGACCTAGATAGAGTGAAAGCTATGCACAAGCACACAAATAAACTTATTTAGACAAATAGCGAGAGGACAATTAATGTGTGTGCATAATTTATCTAAGGGTCATTCCGTAGAATTCCCGCCCACCGTGGCGCGCAAACAAAAAAGAACGGATCACACAGCAGATCGCACTCACTCACTCACTCCAACACAAATGCACACACATACCATCACTCACTCATCGAACAGAATTTATTTCAAAGGAACGCATTCAAAAATTTATGCGATTTCTCTTTGCGGACTATCTACTTCCTGCAGGAGATGAGATCCATTTGGGGTAGTCACAGACCCCCAAGTTGCTAGTCACATTCAAATGGTAGATTATCGATAACACGGTTCATCTATGCGGAATCCGGATTATGCGTATCTGGTATTATTGCTATCAGTTATAACGAGAATTGAACACAGATTGGAGAAGAACTGGATGAAGAAATTTCGAAGTTGTCGTTTACCCTTCCTTGCCAGGGGTTTTGTTTTGTGAGTCACCAAATGATAGGTATTTCGCCCCTGGTGGAAGGCGTCTGAAGTGTGTAATATCGTTTTAGTTCCATAGCCTAAATCAAACGCGGACCTTTTGATTATGACTTAAAGCTCCTATCTTTGAGCTACCAGGTCCATGGCCAGCGGGTATGAGAGCACGGTTACGTTTCTGAGATATTTTTGCATATTTTTCTGGCCTTGTCATGGACACTACAACCCACTTGGGAAGTCTTGAGCGAGTGATTTAAAATATGGATGAAAGTTACCGGACACCTCTGAATGGAATTTGCAGCTAAATAACTGTGAAGAAAAAAAATTGGAAGCTGGAAGAGACCTTACACCGTTCGAAATCATGATAAACAGCGAAAATCTGTACAGCTCACTCTTCTCCAGATTTCAACTAATTGGTTGTAATCTTGGCAGTCCGCCCATAAGTGAGCTGGTCTGCTCACACCTGACTTCAGGTTGGACGGGTGGTGGAAAGGAACGAAGCTGTTAGAGGAACATTTTGGGGCATTCGGCGGGGAACTAGATTTTGCGCAGCCAAAATATTTGTCTCTTCTGTCCTCGTTTTTTTGGTATCATGCAAATCAACCACAGATTGTTCCAGTCGCACTGCTTCTTCCAGGCAATTGAACGCTATCATCAGGCAATATGTTAGAAAACAAGAACACATCACTATGACTTTATATCTTATCAATTTAACACTTACATCATAATCACGTCACATCATGATCAGCACTCTGCATACTCGTCAGATTTATGAAAGTCTTAAAAGGTGCTCCAGTTTGGGTTTGGTTAAATCACAACCTGTTTCAAATCCCATCACATAATCTTGCGAAATATTATTCGCAGCTAATGTAAATCAGCCAGTCCCGGGAATCGCATACTAGACTTATCGCGTTCTCAAATGTTCCGTTGGTTTCTTGGCTTCAGTGTCGATTCTACTGAAACCGAACCCAGCGACACGTTCCATCGTAGTCATACGGAACACTAAAAGTACCATTTGCGATTCCATATGAACTCAACCGGATCGATACAGTTGATTGAGTAAAGACGAGATCACTCAAATGTCGGACCAAAGGATGTGCACACAAAGACACGTGTATGTGTGTGAATCCTTTTTCACACGTGACTGAAAACTCCTTCCAGCAATTATGGTTAGGCATATTTTATTGGTCCATAACAAAGCGATTTCATTTTAAGGTGTTCCATCAAATAAGTTTCAAGGGAAACGTGAAGTGAAAAAATGAGAAGAGCCCCAGTTGTGTTCTCCATCATTTTCTTTGTGAACAGCAATGCGAATCCGTTGATTCAACCCGGGGAGTCTAGCACGAGGTAGGCCAGATAGAACGCAGACACAAAACTAGCTTGACCGCCATGCAGTTGATCAATCTGATCTATTCAGTCTGCGCACAATAAGACACGACTTACTACTGGGGGCTAACAACCCGGTGAATGTTACTCACAAGGGAACCAGGTTGGACAGGTACTCTTTGATCCACAAGGCCATTGCTTTCACTTCAATGTACCTGTATTTATACAATTCGATCTCAATTGAATACACAAACCTTCATATAGTACGAATCAGAGCAGATAAGTGCGCAGGCCCAGCTAGTTCAACTGATTGCCTGTTCTGTTTTACTTAATATTTTTCTGATTAGGTTTGCACATTACCACACTTTGTTTTGATCATATTCCAAGCTACCTGGAGAGTATCAGGTATTCAACCTTGTTCTACTAATGTGAGATCAAAATCCTAACAAAAGGAAATATCAGTGACTATACTTCATCCGCATTATTTATAAATCTTATTTGTCGAAAACTGTGGATTTTTTGGCAGAAACCGTAAGCAACAAACCATTATCAGCTTTTGACGCACCATAGTCATGACTTGTTATTGGAAACCTAGAGTCGCGCATGGGCACTTTGAGGCAGATTAGCCAATTCATATTGAAGAAACATAAGGAAAGGTGGGAAATAAGCCACCAGCATTAGCATATTGCTTTGAGCGCTACTTCGGGACTTCACGAACTGACATCAAAAGTCACTTTGACCTGAGCCAAGTGCGAGTTCGACTCACTCACCCCGTCAGATAAGTCATTTTGTTTAAAAAAGGTCATCGGTTATGCATGAAGGATTGGCTACCTCAAAGAGCCTGCTCTGTGTTCGCTCGGTCCCAATGAAAATTCGTTCCTGTGAACTGTAAGGTTGCTTGGGCACCAGGGGAACGAGGCACATGGATCGTTTGGTGGAAATCTCAAATAGAAGTTTTTCACACTGTGATTCAAAGCAACTGGATAATAATCCAAACGAAATATTATGCACTGAACTCCAACGAGAGAAAAAAGCCACTTTTACACAAATTCCAGTTGTATCTACCGCTTGAACAACTGTTCTTAGAGTACCTCATAAAACACGTGACTTCATTATTCCTAGTTTAAGCAAACAATCCAGCATATCCTCACTATCTCATTGAAAATCGTGGGTATTATTCAATTCACCTGATCGCAATGGCTGAATGACGAAAGTGTTGGTAAAAATTCAATGAACTGAATGATACGAATAAGTTATACACTTGTGAACGCGTATGACGGTTTTAAATGCGTTCACAGAAAACCGTTTATGTCGTCGGACGTTGTTTGTCTCGGAAGCATCAATGCTGGTTATAGATTTTAACGAGGAATAAAAATGCACCATTCAAAGAACTTTGAACAAAATGATGGACCACGGCTTTTCCAGAACAACGTGCAACCATTCGGTCAATTTCGGTCTGTTTACTCATAAATATAAAGACCTTCAAACCGCAATGTCAGCCACTACGTGGGCGGTATGTTTTATTTATATAGTAGTCTATTTATAACCTGCCGAATCTCAAAATATCAAAGGAATACATATGTACAGACCCAATGAAAGTCCTAGTTTTTTTGAAAGCAAACTTTATACTGTCTCTGCTAATAATAACTGTATTTGGAAGGAACTCCTCTTGTGTTCAAAATTAAACTGAAACGAACACACTAAAAAACACAAGCAAGAAGGAGAATTATTTAAGCATCCATCCACCGGTTGTGAACGCATTACTTTCAATGACCCAGTAATAAACATAGAATTCATGTCTCTACGTACTAAATGTGAGGAGTCTCGGAAAGACTGGAGTTGAAGGAGGGGGCCGCAGAGTTGTTGTTATTTGACTAAACTGATTACATAATCCGATTACGTAATCAATTCCTTATAATATTCCCAATATTTCATAGGTGTTATATCTGTCCACAAGCATTTTGTCATACTACACAATATAAAAATTGTCGTTAGTATATAATAAATTAACACAAAACAGCAAACTTTACCAGCCATTTTCGAGCTCATGACGTAAGAAAACACAAGAAGTTCGTTCGGGTGCCTGGTTTTGACTGGTAAAAGTAAATAGTTTATTTTGGCCAATACATATTTCGGAAATCACACATGTACACTTCTTCAACCGGTCTTCTTTCCTATGAAGTAGTTAGGAGAAGACCATTGCTTTCCATTAGTGTTTTAAGTCACTGCAACTACTTATTTTTGCTTTGACTCTCGGTGTATTTTACCTCAAAACTTCTCTGTCTGACAGATATTTACTTCCTAATGAAGGTATTATTGTCAAATCCACCTATCTATTTCTTGAACGCTGATAAGACGATACACTTAGAAGCACAAACTGCAGCCATGTCTATGTTCGTTAGGTAATATGTGTATCGTAAATATACCAATATCATTCACCCAAACTAATCCCTAGAAATCGATGATTGTGCTTCCGGGACTGGGGATTGCCAGAAAGACTGTGCGAACAATCCAAAATCCAAATACTGCCGGTGTCCAGCTGGCTATTTCCTAGCTCCAGATCGTCGCCGATGTCTTGGTGAGTTCGATTCATTTGTTTGAACAGTATTTGCTTCGAAATATTTTCAAAAGATCATGCTCTTCACCGTATCAGATTTGACTGAGGTCCAGATTCAAATCTTTAATCACACTTGCAGATCAAACAACACTGAATCGCGTATTTGCTCTCAATACTATGCATTTACATGCCCCCCGATAGTTCCTCTTCAACTAACTTCACTGTGCTCTTATAGCATCTCCACACAAAAACCGGTGTAACTTAGTCGGACGGTATTGTTTGTCCAGCGGATTGCATGATTCATTGTTGTAACTCATCCCAATGAATCACAGAAAACAAAAAGCATCTTCGTTTAGCTCGGTGAGATTTTTAACCAAAATACAAACTCCGAACGCTATCGACGGGAACACATTGGGGGATTTGATTGATTGCATAGCGTGTGGCGTCGTGAGCAGAACAAGTAAAGCGTAAACTGAAGAGCTTGGAAGCAGTGTAAAGCTGTTTCGACTACTTTCGATACATTTAATTGGATCCATGGATCGGTGAAACAGGTGTGAGGTACGACATTCCAACCTACTTGAATCATGGACTTCGTGAAAACGGATGTCCATTCATACTGTGCACTAAAGCCGGTTAGGCTTCCAAATGCGAAGAAATGTTTGCCCATAAGTGATATGATCAGATGGTGCTAAATGGCAATGGACAATAAACATGGGTAGTTGTTATATTTTGAATTTCACAGAATGACTAATGCTCTCTAATTTGCATGAAACGATTCGGGTTTAAGTTTATTCTGGCTAATTTTCAACATTTGGCGGGTACTATTGAGCAAAAGGAGATCTTGAAGCAGTGTGTGAGGGATCAATCTTCCGGTGTGTGTGATGACGAAGTGACGTATATACAAAGAGTAAAGGAATCACTTTGAGCATAATTAGATTGATTATGTTATCAAAGAAGAAGAGTATGAGACACTGTTTGCCCACTTCAATCTGTGCTACCTAATGTTCTACTGGATTATTTTGCTTGATTTATCATAAACATTATGAATGACAACCAAATATTGACAAGCAACAGTGCAGAGTAATAAGACTATTTTATTCATCCGAGAGTTAGTAAGATGGAGCATTACATGTTTTAATGCGCACTTTGTGCTGTACTCGGCAGCTTGAGGGGTAGGAAAACGGAACTGGTGTGAGTGAGTTATGTACATTCAATCTGTGGGAATCCAAGAAGAGTTGATGTGGTGGAAAGTGATGAAACCGTGATTAGAGGTCCAAATAACCCAGCAATCAAGATCGAAGCTATGTATTGCCTTTAGATCATGTGACAGAAGGACAGAACAGGGAGGAGTTAATTACATGAATAACGCACCGGCGAAACAATAATCTTGGTCCATGCCAAGGGTACTGAGATTCTCATTGGCTATGCCTAGAACAGATAACCGAAATGATTCAATAATGACCATACGAAATGAACAATGACCATGGCCAGGGTTACATCATGTCTACAAACGCTCACTAGGCTCTGATAAGTTGGATGCTCATAAGCGCATCGAGTTTCGTTTCAACTTGGATTGGGGACATATTTCAGCATATGATTCTATCCAGTCATTGAGAAATTTACTTACAAAAATGGAATATGCGGTAACCGAACCTCCTTTTCATCAAACTGAAATCGAGGAAGAAAAATGTGAGTTTACTTTGTATATGGAAAGATGGTGCAATGATTTACGGTTCAGGTGTTCAAAAAATTTCCATTTTGAGAAATCCGATGAAAGAACAGACATCACACTTTGTTCACTTCTGATATAAAAAACGGTGGCAATGACTGGTTATTTTCATTACTGAAGTGCTTATACCATACGTGGAACAAACAACTTTCAAAACAAATTAGGCTCACACATAACCAATCGATCGTTTTACTATGTAGTTCCAATGTTGCTGGCATTTAGGCGTTGATATTGTTTTCCGGTATTTCATCACCATTGGGTTCAATTAATAGAGAAAACAATCATAAAGTGAACAAACGATGAAGGTAATCTTACACAGAAACAATTAGGAAACAACGAGATTGAATGCGTAATCCAATTGAGCAGATACATATGCGCTTTGCTTGGGTCATGGAACAGTCAGCTCTGTTTTCCCTATTCGCTCAGCAGATTGATGATGAGGAAATAGAAAGGTAATCCCCAAATTATTCGCACTTTACCACCAAGCCCATTGATCAAAGATACGCCTCCATGGCAATAGCTGTAGCAACCGACCGCTCACGGGTTGGATTGATCGACGACTAATTCAGATTGAATGCACGCGTAACATATGCCGGTAGCAAATGACGCTGTGAGGACTGCCATTGAAATTATACCTTCTGTAAGCATATGTGGAATTCGTAAGGATACTGTGTGTGCAAAATTTCCACGTGTGTTCAAATGACGTTCGCGCAGATCGAATAATGGTGTTGGCATTACTTAGCCCTCCACAACAAAGAGCATATTTCAGATCTGAGTTCTGTGTTGCCGGTGCAGTTGTTCAGCTGGATTGGATGAATGTAATCATGAGGCAATACAACGATTTTAAACACACTATGCACTCTGCTCCCGTGTAGAACGCGAATGCCTCTGCACTAGGCTCGACCGAACTCCCTCCCGCAATGTATACTCGTCTATTCAAGAACGTAACGGTGTTGCGTAATATTATAGATATCTCCGGTTGCCAAACTTTATTTTAGCTGACAGATACGTAGGTTTTGGAAGAGTATGTCTTGTCCACTCTGTTTCTTTTTTAAATAACACCCTCGATGGAGATGAGTATAGAGTGATGGAAATCCCCCGTTTGGAAAAACAATTTAGGTAGATGTTCACCCAATGATACCATTTCGCGTGCATAAAATAATTTGATAGCTAACCGTCCAAGGGAGACTCGCAACCTCTCTCCTTGCATGCATTCGTAGCTCCTTTGCTGGGATAATACACAGTGCAAAGTTGTAAAAGAAACTGACATGTTAAATTTGATAAATGACACACTTTTGCTATCTTTGTCGGGAGAAACAAATCAATGTTAATGTTGTTGTGTTCTCCCACCTGGAATTGTTTTTTTCGTAGACATTTCGTAGACAGACTAGTCAACATGACCAGTGCAAATTCTGGGAGTCCCCCTCCAACAGAACCCAATACAAGTAAACGTCCAACTGAATAAAAATGGGGGGGAGACAAGGCGGGATTCCAGCATCAGTGTCAGCATTGATTCAGATAAGCTGTGAACCAGAAAATTAAAACTTTGGACCGCACCAACTTTGTAATAGAGTTATGTTTCTCTTTCCTTCCCCTCTAAAATTCAGACATTGACGAGTGCAAATACAAACGTGGAGGTTGTATGTACTTTTGTGAAAATCTTCCCGGAGGATATCGTTGCGCCTGCCCGTCGGATATGATGCTAGCTGCGGATAAAATCTCTTGCGTTCCTTGTGAGTTTATTTGCATGACCTAGCAAACAATCTGAGTATGCGCAGTCCTCCTTCTCCCAGTTTAATTGATTCATTATCACCTATGCTTGCACTATGAAACCAATGTCTGTTTGAATTGATGCTAGTCAGTTGCTTCTTGCAAAATGAACAAACGAAGCGGATCATTTTTCAGGAATCTTGTCATTCTGCTATCATTCCTTGAAACTCCATTTGAATATTATTACTTTCCCATTTTTACTGGACAGAAAAAGTGTAGGTAGATTTTTCCATTGAAAACAAATGCAAGGCCAAGCCCGAACATATTGAACGAGAGGAATACTGTTTAAGAGCATGGGAAGCTAGTATACGTCTACTTGAAATAGCTCTTTCCATGACCCTGGTTCTTTCTATGTCACGACATGACTGGGAACAAGTACCGGCTTTTTATGAGACAAACGCGACCAAGATCAGACCAAACTCAGATACAGAATGACACTAACTCTACGTCCAATGTGAAACATTGGGCCCCCTTTATCCATTTCATCAATATAGAAAGAAGACAAATGTCGCGAGATGTTAATCTTTTAATCTTCTCATTCGCTTACTTTAAACAAACAAGCATGTATATAGCATATGGGACTGTTGAATTATGGTTAATGAACGCGTGCAACAATACAACGATCACTAAACATAGAAGTAGAAGGTTAACTCCACGGTACGTGTATTGATTGTATGAAAAAACGTTTGTGCACATATGGTTGGGCGATGTAACCGAATGAGCAGCACTTCACGGGGTTTCCCATTGCGATTACGTAAAAGTGGTTTGATGACGAATTGGAGCCAACTGTGTGTCTTGTTGTTATGATGTTTTGCAACAGATGACCCTGGGTTTCTTGTAATCAACTGACTATCAATTATCGGTCGCATCAGCGACCAACCACTTTGGAATTTGTTCGGCCGTCCGTTGCGAGAGCTGGCGGTTTGTTCTATGTGCATATGTATGTGTCACCGCAACTGCAGGTGAACTGGTATACAGTATGTGAGAGGGAACTGGTTTGCCAACCGTGTTTAGGTTTATCCAGATCAATTCCACAATTAGAGGCAATGAGTCTGAGTCAGGTAACTGGTTTGTTCTCTTACTTGAATCCGGATAGGGTATGACTATAAGATCTTTTGTATAATTATCGGTATCTTTTGAATCTGAATCACTGTGGCTTCTCTTCCGTTGAAGGACTACATCCGAATAGGGGAAATACACTATGGGGATTTGAATGGTGGAGCGTGTTCGTATAAAGACTTGGATACAAAACGAAAATTGCTATGCACTGGATGCAACCGAATTCTTCGAGAGAGAATATCCTAGTGGGGGTAAACAAGCCATTTTTATTGATGTCCAGCATTTATTTTACTAATATGGCTTCTATTCTTCCGATAAAACAAATTTAGGGTTGTAATTGGACTATTCGTGGATTACATCAAATATGAGAGAGATTTTCCGTTTGACACCAATATAATAATTGTTCGCAGACTACCTTGCATGGCCCAGTTTAAATTGGCTCTTATCAAATAGAAAACTTAACGTCTTTCTTCCCCGTTCTTCCTTCATACCCCAAAACGGGCAGTCTTCGATCCCTGTAAACATCCGCCCAACGGTGACTGTGAGCATATTTGCACCACACTGCCGGGTTATCGGTATGTTTGCTCCTGTCAACCAGGTTACCGTTTGGCAGACGACAAAAAGCGATGTATAGGTAAGTAAAACCTGACAGGGCTCGGTATTACTTCTTTTGTTTATCAACTCATGAAAGAGGACCTTCCATCATTTTGTTCCATTCTATTTTGATATAGCCGTGCATACAAGTGTAATGAAGCATTTATTGACTTTACAGGCTACAATGACCCATGTTCAGTGATGAATAAAAAC